ACTGCTGGTCTAATTGTGTAATTTAAAAATCAAATTAAACATCTGTCACCTCAAATGTATTGTTTCCTTATGGTGAAAACACTCAAAAATCCACTGCGAGATATTCAATGAATGAGAGGCATTCATAGCTGCAAGCATCAACATATATCTAAAAATGGTACATATTCTTCACGTTTACACAATTTGTACTGACCTCCCAGTGGGGTGCGGAGGTCAGCCTGTATTCTCCTACCATTCTTTGCCATCATACCCTGAATTTATTAGTCATGCTATCATTGGTAATTGTGTAAGAGGTACATTGTGTTTCTTTCCCACAATCCCATTATTTTAACCTTGGGACTGTATCTACTGAGTTCAAAGCTTCCCACTAACTTCCATGATACCAGAGCATTTCCATTTTGCTGCTTGTAGCTGATTCACCTCATCTTTGTGGGACCTGTCACATAGTAGATTTCTCAGGAAGGGTTGTAGTCACTGGCTTCAGGGAATGTCTTCTGGTTCTCCTACTTTTTCTCTTGAGCTCATGAAATATGCTTCTTTGATAATGTCCCCCTGCTTGGTCTCTGTCAACATATCAACAATACGTTTTTATAAATTTGCCATATTTCAGCAAGTCCTGCATTCTCACAGCCAGGGGAACACGCTGGAGCCTGATAACTGCTGTCATACTAATACCTTAGTCAGTGGCAGACACCCTTGGACAAAGCTGTTATAAATCTAGGCAGCAGAATGTTGCTATTTTTATAATTTCCACAGTTTAAATGTCTTTATTGTGCATTATAATAAGCAGAGATCTCAGGCCCTCAAATCTTGTCAGGTTCTTCAGATTCTTTGGTGATCTTTGAATTACATGATTTTTTTCAGTTCAGACAATCACAAGAGAAGACCCAACTCCTGCTTCAACATCCCACAGACAAGAACCTGAGTATTTTGGCTAAAGGTCTTTTTTTATTGTGGAAAGACCTTACATTTACTGGCTCTGCCATTGTCACTCTTGCTCATTAGCTGACACAATGGGACTGTATATATTTCATCCTTCTTGAGAGTCTTTCAAAAGTTTTAAGGGTTATGTCTATCTCAATTCCTTTCCATTCGTAGTTCTCTTTTGTGAACTGTATTTTGAAGGATGGCTTCAAGGAAATTTTTTTTCCCGATGGAAATTTTTAAAATGAAATATTTAACATGAAAGTCTTACCCTTTTTATTTTCAAGAATTCAATGTATTTTATAATTATGATGTTTCTGCTTTGAGAATGCTTTGCAAATGATTTATGAATATGGGTTGTGTATGAGTCACACTATTGCATGCAATTCATTTCTTCTAATAATACATGTATATTTATAATACAGATTCACATTTAATGAGAGGATGATGTCAATGGTGACCAAATAAAAATCTGAAGACTGAAATTATGCACCACAGAGAGAAAGAGTCTCCACTCTTTTAGGTGCTTTGTCTGTGAAACAAACTGACAGGAGATTAATGGGAGAAAAGTCAGACAGTGCATGCGATATTGAAAGTTTTATGTGGCACTGGGGCAAAGGGATACCTTGTGGAAAGAACAAAGAACTCCCCTAAGAAATGGCTGGGCTCAGATGCTTTTATGCTATTTGGACAAAAGTGAAGATCTTGAAGGAACAAAAAGACAAAGGGAAAGGGTTTCTAAGCATTGAGGCGAGGTGAATTATAGGAAGGCTAAAATGTGGAAAAATAACAGCAGCCATGACAAGTTACATGGTTGGATCTTTCTGTTGTCTCTCTTTGCTCTCTTGTCTTTTCCTGATATGAGTGGAGGAGTCTGGAAACACCCTGTCAAAGGAATCAGTGATCTGGTTTCAGGCAGCTCTAGCAGGACACTGTCTTTATGAATCACTGTAAACAGAAAACAATCCTTGTGCTAGAATGTCATATTTTGATAATGGTGAATTAGGATACACAATGCCCCGAACAAAACCACCCAGCAGGCAGTACCCCGAGTACCAAGGCAAATGGGGAAGAGAGGCTCCTTTACACTGCCACACCCATAGGGTACTCACTCCATATAGCATGGGAGACAGAGTAAAAGCAAGTAGAGTTATGACCTTATATTTTCTAGAAAAACAGAATTTTATGTAATTAAAATACTGAAGGTTCATGAAGAAAATAGAATTCAGGATCATTCTCAAAGCCTTAATTGGGACCATATAATAGTGATGAGCATTGTTGAACTCCAAGCACCACTCTAGGTACTTTGCATATACTTTATAATCACTGTAGTCGATAGATATGATTCTCATTTTTCATTGTACAGGTAAAGAATTAGATCCATAGAAAGGCAATAAATGGCAGGCATATAACCAATATTATACTAATGGAGAAAACTGAAGGCATCTCTACTAAAATAAGGAACAAGAATGGGTATTCATTGTCTGCACATTTATTTAATAATGGACCTGAAGTCTTAGCTAGAGCATTAAAAGAGAAGTGCAGAAAAAATGGATACAAAGACATAAGAAAAAGTCTATCTTACACATAGTTGATAAGATTCTATATATGGGGGCTGGAGAGATGGCTCAGAGGTTAAGAGCACTGGCTGCTTTTCTAGAGGTCTTGAGTTCAATTCCCAGCAACCACATGGTGGCTCACAACCATCAGATAAGATCTGGTGCCCTCTTCAGGCAGGCAGAACACTGTATACATAGTAAATAAATAATTAAAAAATACCAAGTTGACTGAAATTTAAAAAAAAGATTCTATATATAAGAGACTCAGAATACTCCATCAGAGAACTCTTAGATGTAATCAGAACTTTTAGCAAAAAGGCAGGATACAAAATTAACACACCCTCCCCCATAGGCTAGGTCAATGGTTGGGTAGGCATTGGTTGGGTATTCTCTTGATCTTTGTTCTATCTGCTCTATCTTTATCCATGCAAATCTTGTAGGAGGGGTAAATTTGGGGTTGAAGTTTTTGTGGGTGGGCTGGAGTTCCCCTCCCTCTATTAGGCGGCTAATCTAACAATAATCTGCTAAGTTTGCAGACAGGAGCATGACAGAATTGTTTTCTATGCAGCAGCTCCTCAAAACAGATGTTGAGACTCACAGCCAAACATTGGGCAATGTTTAGGGGGTCTTGTGAAAAGTGGAAGAAAAGAGAAATGGACCTGTAGGTGACAGGAGCTCCACATGAAGACCAACAGAGCCAACTAACCAGGGTCCAGAGGGTCTTGCCGAGACTGAAGCATCAACAAAGGACCGTGCATGAACTGGACCTAGGCCTCCTACTAAGTTGTAGCAGATGGAAAGCTTAGGCCTCAAATGGGCCCTCTGGTAGGGAAGTGGGACTGTATCAGACATGGACTCACTTGCCAGGTTTTTGATCCTTTCTCCCTGGCAGGACCGCCTTGCCAGGCCACAGGGGAAGAGGACATGCTCAGTCTTGATGCAACTTGATGAGCTGGGGTGGATGGGAAAGGGAGCTCCACTTTTCTGAGAAAGAAGCATGGGGGGAGAGGAGAGAGGCTAGAAGGGGAGGAAGGATGGGGTGACAACTAGGACATAAAAAAATAAATTAAAAAAAACAAAATTAACATATAAAAATCAGTAGCTTCCTCATGTACGGGTTACAGACATACTGAAGAAGAAGCGGCCCTCAGCTTGGCTATCATTATTCTCAAATTCGAGTTAAGCTGCAGAGCCATAGTATGACACATGACATATGTGTCATAAAACATATGACACCAACACAGAAACAGACATGTAGGTCAGTAGAACAGAAAAGATGACGCAGGGATAAACCTGTGTAGCTATAGTCAACTGAGCTTTGACAAAGATGACAGAAATACACAGCAGACAGCCTCTTCAACAAATAGCGTTTGTAAAACTGGATACATAGAAGAATGAAACCAGATCTCTCTTTCTCATTCTGTATGAAAAACCATCACGGAGGTACTATCTAACCCACTATCACAAATGATAAGACAGACACCTGCTAGCTTTTGTAATTGCCTTATTTTCCTTGGCTCTGGCAGATATTTCACCTACGCTGTCTCAGTCACTTCACCATCCATCTCCCAGCCCTGATCCAATGCCATCCGCCTTATTCATTCCTGTCTGGACCACCTTCCATCCATCATCCCATGGTACTTGCGCGTGTTCTTCTTCGGGGCCTTTTCACGCCATTATTGGAGTCCTTCCTCCAGGCACAGCTTTCTTTCTCCACACTAACCCACGGTGGCACCTTCCTGCCTCTTCTCTTTGTCAGTCTGTTTCCCATGATTCTCTTGTCCGGGCCTTTTAATCAGCCAATCAGGTAGGTTTACACAACGAGGATAGGTGTATCCAGGCAACACTAGGCAAGCATCGGACCATACCCCAACAAAAAGGATTAGAAATTCCTCAAGAAAACAGTAGCTGGAAAAGTTTGACTTGAATCTGACCTTTCATAGTAAAATATATGCAAAAGAGATGACGATATTATTGGGTTCATTCTCTTTATCTTGACGGGATGACTCATACATACGCCACACGTATCTGGGACTGGATTCTAACTAGCTCTACAGTGAGCTGCGATCTAGCCCCGATGATCTTCGGCGGATAGCATTACTCACTTACAAAAAGCTTGTGCACATTCACCACAGATTTAGACAGAGTTTTTTCCTTTTATTTTCTTTCTTTTTTTATTTTTATTTTTTTACACACTTGAGATTTTTATTTATTTTTAGCAGACTATGCGTATACTTCCCTCACCCTTTAAGTCAGTGTGAAAATCTTCCGTAATAAAACTACTTAAAGAGACGCTTCGGTCAAAAATGGAATGAGGTAGCAAAAACAAAACAAAACAAAAACAGCAACAACAACACGAAAACCCACCCTTCCCCCACAACACCCACACGAACACGCGCTAGTTGCTTGATCAGTGTGACAGCGTTTCCGTGGGCTGGAGATTCCCACCCCGGAGCGGAGGGCCGCGTGCTCGGCCCCGTTCCTCGCGCTGGATGGCGGGGCCTCGCTCGCTCGGCTTCACGTTACCCGGAGGCCCTGGATGGACGACTCGAGGGTCTTGAAATCCCAGATTGCCATGGCCCCGTCAATGCCGGTGGTGCAGAATTTGCGACAGTCCTGCTTGTCCACCTCGTAAACGGACACCTGCGTGATGCTGTTCTGGTGCAGCGTCCCCAGGGCTGTGCTGTCGCGGTCCTCGGTCGTGGCCCTCTTGTCCAGGCTGCGGAAGCGCTCCATAGCGGACACGGGGCGCTGGACGCTCTGCTTCGGGAGGTCCAGCTTGGACACGAAGGTCAAACGGCCGCGGTCGTCGCAGTGGAAGAGCATGGGGCAGCAGTCGTGGCCGGCAGCCACGAGGCTGTTCTCCGAGACGAACAGCACACTGAGCAGAGGCAGGAACTGGGTCTGCAGAGTGGACACCTGCGCGCTCCTGGAGGCGTCAGCCACGGACACGGTGCTGTCATGGCCGACCCAGGCCAGGCGGTTCCCACCGGCGGAGAAGCTGACCCCATGCACCCAGCCGTTGCCGCCGAACTCGGACATCAGCTGGCCGAAGGGCATCTTGCTGCCCCAGGGTGTGCTGGCCGGCTTCTCATCCACCTCTTTGATGTAGGCGGAAAACACTCTGCACTTGAAGTCGCAGGACCCCGCGGCCAGCAAAATGTTGTTGGGATGCCAGTCCAGGCTGAGGACCGTGGAGCTGATGGGCTTCTTAATGTGCTTGCTCACCCACCAGTCGTTTTCAGACTCGAAGTAACACACAGAGACCAGCCGGGCCCCACTCCCCACAGCAAACTTGTTCTCCAGGGGGGACCACTTGACAAACGTGGCCGCGCGGCTGATCCTCAGGATCACCAGCGTGGGCTTCCAGAGGCCGTCTCTCAGGCTCCACACGTAGGCGTCGCGGTCCGCCCCGCAGCTGACGATGCGGTCGCTCCGAGGCGCCCAGTCGATGCCCGTGATGTGTCCGTTATGCTCCTTCAGCTCGTGAGTTTTCGCCCACTGGCCCCCGTTCTTCCTGTAGATGTGCACTTCATGATTATTGGGGCTAAGTGCGATCTGGGTGCGATCTCTGTTCCAGGCGTGGCAGGTGATGGGCGCCAGGAGAAACTGATGCAGAGACATGGTTTCTGACGGCCCTCAAAGGTCAGCCAGCTGGGTCGGGGAGGTCGCGAGGGCCCCAGCGGATGATTGCGCGCATGCGGATGGAGGACGGAGGCCGAGAGGGAGCGGCCAACAGATCCTGGCCCAGTTTCCAATTTTCAGACTATTGAAAGGTCAACAATAAAGAATTGCCTAGACATAAGCGCTGAAGTTTCGTTTTATTACAGTGATCCTGATGCTTTCCTTTCTTTTCCAACTTTTCTCATAGTTGGGTGTGTATTCTTCCAGAGAGTTCCCTATGCATATTGATATATTGGTTTGGCTAAAGTAATTTCCTGTAATAACATTCACAAATATATGCAGTTCTTCAGCTTATTTAATAATAGATGTGGGTGTATTTCTACTTCAGCGTTAGAGAGCAACATTTTTCTGTTTTATACTTAATTGAATATAAGGAAAGAAGCTGCAATTGCATCATCTGGCCAAGAATTTTTCTTATAATTTTGTAGGTTTCCAGTGCTTTCCTTTTATTATTGTTTGATTCCTTTTTCGGTTTCGTCTCTGAAATTAAAGTTTATTTTATCAGAATGTCTTTCATCTCTTTCTCTTTCTTGTAATACATATTTACAACAGTTGCCCTCATTGCATTTTCCAACTTTTGTTTTCTTAGATACGTGATTAACTGAACTTCAACTTTAAAACTAGCCATTGAGTTGTTAAAGTTCTTGCTCTGTAACTATAAGAACCTAAGTTTGGAGTCCCAGCATTTACATAAGAAGCTTGGCAGAGTGGCGAGTGCCTAAAAATCTCAGAGCTAAGGACATGGAGACAGATTCCCCGGGTCCTCCTCCAGCCGAATGCGTGCCTTCCGGTTCAGTTAGAGACCTCATCTCAGAAAGCAGAGGTCAGGGATACAAGGCACATACCTACACACAGCAAAGGCGATATACAAACAGCCCATAGCCAACATCAAACTAAACGGAGAGAAATGTAAATCAATCCCACTGAAATCAGGGACAAGGCATGGCTGCCCACTCTCTCCATATCTCTTCAACATAGTACTTGAAATCCTAGGGAGAGCAATAAGACAACTAAAGGAGATCAAGGGGATACACATTGGAAAAGAAGTCTCCAACTGGGGTCCTTACTAAGGGAAACAGGAACTCTCTCTGGCATGAACTCATTTGTAGGCTTTCTGATCAACCTCCCCCTGGGGGTTGCAGCCTTGCCAGGCCACAGAGGGAGACATCGCAGCCAGTCCTGATGAGACCTGATTGGCTAGGGTCAGAATGAAGGAGAGGAGAACCTCCCCTATCAGTGGACTAGGAGAGGGGATTACGGGGAGAAGAGGGAGGGGGGATGGGATTGGGGACCACAGCCAGGATACAATTTGAATAAATCGTAATAAATAATGATGATGATGATGATGAAGAAAAGAAAGAAAAAAAGTAGGATGGAGACCAAGGAGGAAGGCATCCAAAGGCAACTGAGGTCTGGATGTGTGAAAGTGAACACATATGAGCACGCACAGACACACACTAACAGATGCACACACACACAGACACAGGAGAACTAAAAAACAAAACAGTGTAGCTCGTGTGATAAGAAAGGATTTCCTAATCAAAATCAGAGATTAATTATTCATGAGTTGCAAATGAAATAAACAGAAATTATTAATGATGGCTTCACTTCCATGTAGTAACTGAAAATGTTTTCCTATGTCCTCGAGCAGATACAAAACATCAAGCTTTCAATGTAATATTTACCAAACATTTTTAGAACAAATTTGAAATATTAAGCGGTTGTTTTCCCTACAAAGATTAGCATGTGTACGGTTTTTCTTACTTTAATCGTACCTAAAATCACCTTTTCCTGAATGAACAAACTGAATGAATCTTGCAAATTTTTTTCCAACACTTATTCAGTCCTAATGAATAAATGCTAGGTTAAAAATAGAAGTTTTTAAAAATTTGATTTCAATGAGGTTAGTTTATAAATGAGGTCCTCAAAAGTTCATGTAGTAAATTGTATCAGTTCTTTAGCATTGAAAAATAAGTTTTAGATGGTGTCCAAGCAGGTAAGAAATAGAATCAACATGTCAATGTGTAACTTTGGTATATGAATAATCAGAGCATAATAGCAAACATATGTGCACAGACACCTGCCACTATGAGGATGCCATTGTAAATGTTCCTATTATATGGTCTTTACATTAGTCACTTTACCAATGACTAAAACCAAGGAGATTAATGTTACTGACTGGTGCTTTGAAGTCTAGGAAGCCTATTGGAATATAGAAACCCAATGGCAATTTCACCCAAGGCCAAGCGTAAAAAAGGCAAACATAAAATCAATTAAATTCAACAGTAATGTAAAACACTTATTCTTCCAAAAATCTCACGTCAGCATCAATAATTGATGACAGCAAACAGCACAAAAGGGTTTATTACTAGATTTGAGACACATATAAGAAATGCACAACAACAACAAAGACCTTAGAGATTTTTTCTGAGTGCTAGCATCGAAAATCTTGCAGTTGTTTTACCATTGATCACCTCATAGAAGTTTGCTTTGATGTCTGGTGCGGCATGGCAAACTCTAGCTGTAGTCTTGTCTCTGATGTATTGTGTTTGAGTGATGTGCTAAGCAGTTGTTTTAAAAGTGAGATAGCTCATCACAGTAGCTAAGACCCAGGACTTCATACCTGTCTAGATCTGTGCTTGACACCCTGCCCAATCCACACTTCCTCTGTAAGTTTCCATAGGTTCCCTTAGTGCCTTCCTCCTGGATGCTTTTCAGATTTTCAATTTTTTTTTGTTTTCAGTATCTTCACGATAGTATCCATAAATATTCTTTGTATATTTTAGACGAATATTTATTAAGCATTATGAATGTTTAAACTGATGGTTTTCACAGAACAAAAAAATGTTTATAGCTTTTTAATATATATATTTTTTCGTTCTCGTCTTCCAAGTCCATGTTATCCTCTGACAGGTTTCTAGTATTTGGTATTATCTGTTGCTGACTGTCTGATCTCTGTGTTCACCACATTTGGTAAGTCTCTTGAATGATCTACAAGTTCACCGATCTTTATCCTACTTTGTCCAATCTATTTTGAAGGTCATCCAGTGAGTTATTTACTTCAAAATTTTAATCCTTACTTGCCATTATTTTTCAATTTGATTTTCTTATCAGTTCCTTGGAGCACCTATTTCTCCACTGATTACTCATTTTGTCCAAAATTTTCTTTATTCTGTAAAATATTTGCAATAGTGATCTAAGGTCCCAGGGTGCTGATTCTAATATCCTAACCAGCTGTGGTCCGTATCTGCGGCTCCTTTACCTAGCATACTCAGGTTTAGGCCATGCATTATAATTTTTGTTGCATGCTGAATGTTGTATGTAAAAATGAATAAAGTGAGAATTACATATAGTTTTTGTTCACGCCTTTCCTTTTGTCAGGAAGCTAAAGAGAAGTCTTTTCTTTCCTTGTTTCTTGAGAAAGGGCTTCGTTCTGTAGCTCAGGGTTTCTTGAACTTGTGATCTTCTGCTTTTACTAAAGTATTTAAAAAATGTTATTAGTGTTGAGCTGACTGAGTCTTGAGCTGAAGTTTCTATTAACCCCAGATCATCTCTGCTTTTAAATATCTCATGGGACCTTTCGATTCTACCCTTGAATAGAAAGAAATTTGTGGCTCAAGAAATATAAACCTATGCTGCTTCTTCTTTGCTTTTCAGCTTCATGCTTCCCTCAAATGAGGTCCTCAACAGGAGCATGAAGAACGTTAGACAAAGATGTGTGATTTGAGGTCCTTCTAGATTTTTGCATTACTCTTCAGGTGAATAAGCATGTTCCTTTGTTTGTTTTCTTCTTCTTTTCCCAGCAAAGAACTGTTGATGGCAGATCAGTACCTCTACCTGCGTATGTGCTGGACTACGTTGGCAGGTCTGAAAGCAGTCACACTTTTCATATACCCAGAATGCGATTGCTCCTTTTAAGATTTTTCACTGCTCTGTGTCCACTATGCTTTACTGAATTTGAGGAAAAACACTTTTAAGATAATCGTTATTTTCTATAGCACTTATGCTCTGGGCAATAGTTAAAATATTTAATGATAGTTTAATAAAAAATCCATTGTACCAAGCATTGGCCGACGCAACCAGTGGTAAAAGGATTTGCATATTTAAAAACTGCTGATGTGATAAAAATATGAGAGTCAAGACAGGCTGATTAGGAAGGTTCTGATGGGTGAAGTGGATGGATGAGATCAACATGAAGTTTTCATTAGAAACAAAAATTAAATCAATACAATGTCCATTATAAAAAGCACTAGCGGTGCTAATTTTAAAGGTTTCCCCATGTACCTTCTGTCTAGCAGCTGAGAGTTGTTTTTCCGTGAAAGCCTTATACTTGCTAAGTTTTGACTTGCTACGACATTAACCCAGTTTGAAGGACCTGCTGAAGCTCTGCTCTTGAAAATACTCCGAGTTGAAAATGTGTAAAATGAAAACCCTGGGGGGTGAGAAGCCAGTATCCAACCCCCTTTATAGATCTCCTTCGCAGAGGGAGGCAGAGGACATGGGCTCTCTCCTGCAGACAGCCCAGTGACCAGGCAGTCTCACAGCAGTCAGCTTCATCTGTCCTGAGCAAATCTGGGCCTTCAAATAACGTACGGGTGGAATGTGGTTTTGTTGCTCTGACGGAACGTGATCTAAGCTACCACTCTTTAACCTAGGGAAAGGGAAAAAGCAAGAAGAGAATGAATGATACATTTCATTTCTTTTAGGAAGAATGTGTATGTAAAGTCCCAGTAAATGATTGAACAAAAACAGTGACCACATGAGGGGTTGATTTTAGAGTCTGCTAATCCAGTTTCCCCAGAATCGTTGTGGCCATTAGATTTTAACATCTTTACCTTATATTTTAAGATTAGGAGAATGTTTTACACTCATAAAAGAATTATTGAAAGACACAGCTTTCGTCCTAACATCATGCTTAAGAGTATATTTCTGGGGGCTAT